AAAGGGGGCACAGGTGACCCAGTCGTATTAATCGCTGTGTGCAGAGTCGCGTCCCTTTGGCACATCAGAAACCTATAATCGTGGGTTCGAACCCCGGTTCTCCCCAATGAAGTTTTAAGGTTTTCAGCGCCAAACCCGTGTTCGTGGGTTTCACCAAAGTGGTAAACGTCTAAGACCTGCACCACATCTGCGTTTCCTCCAAAATCAAGCTTACACGCCGTGATGTACTGTTCAAAGCTGTGTTAAACCTAACTCACTCACTAAACATGGCAGGTGTTTTCTTCGTTAACATCCTTGTTCATAACGTCCGCATTACGTTAACCGTGAAAGCTACAAATGTGCGTGAATGTTGTTTTAATCAAGTACGCGCACGTGTTTATGTGTGTGCGTGTGTGTATAGTTGTATACGAGTGTGCATATGTGGGAGACTGTGTATATGTGTGTGCGTGTGTGGGTATATGCGAGTGTGGGTATGTGTATGCATGTGTGGGTATATGTGTGTGCGTGTGTGTATATGTGTGTGCGTGTGCGGTTATATGGGAGTATGTATGTGTGTGTATGTGTGTGTATATGTGTGTGCGTGTGTGTATATGTGTGTGCGTGTGCGGTTATATGCGAGTGTGTGCGTGTGTGTATATGTGTGTACGTGTGCGGTTATATGCGAGTGTGGGTATGTGTGGGTATGTGTGGGTATATGTGTGTACGTGTGCGGTTATATGCGAATGTGTGTATGTGTGGGTATAGGTGTGTGCGTGTGTGTATATGTGTGTGCGTGTGCGGGTATATGCGAGTGTGTGTATGTGTGGGTATATGTGTGTGCGTGTGTGTATATGTGTGTACGTGTGCGGTTATATGCGAATGTGTGTATGTGTGGGTATAGGTGTGTACGTGTGTGTATATGTGTGTACGTGTGTGGGTATATGCGAGTGTGTGTATTGTGGGTATGTGTGGGTATATGTGTGTGCGTGTGTGTATATGTGCGTGCGTGTGTGTATATGTGTGTGCGTGTGTGGGTATATGCGAATGTGTGTATGTGTGGGTATAGGTGTGTGCGTGTGTGTATATGTGTGTACGTGTGCGGTTATACGCGAGTGTGTGTATGTGTGGGTATATGTGTGTGCGTGTGTGTATATGTGTGTGCGTGTCCGGGTATGTGTGTTTGATGTAATGTCGGTTTTATATGCTTGTCCACTGACATACCACGCCGCAGTTAAACATGCATACCACACTCACACACAATATACTGACTACGAGCCGACGAGTCCCTGTTTTATTCCCTCAATGGCGAGCGACAAGAAGGTAAACACCATGTACATCTGGATCTTTTAAAGTCTTTTGGTATCGAACCCCCGACATTCTGCTCTCTGGTCCTACACTCTGTACTCTAGACCACGGGGTGACCAGTACATGCTAAGAAAGACATGCATAACGGTTGACTGAATGGGCAATGATCCACACCCAAGTTTGATGATAGTGTAGTGTTAAGAATCCTTGAATTTCGTGGGATAATCTACATCAGGGGACGAAACAATGTTTCAATGATGACATAACATTATCAAACCTCGAAAACTGACTCGTCACGTGAACGATATTGACGAGTGGCATTTACGGTTCGCCTTCGTGCTTGGACGCAGGTAGCGCGTCATTCGTCACCACTCGTCCCTTTCCGTATCCTGCAAGAAGACTCGTCCCCCTATCGATGAATGTAATGTGCGAAAATACGACAAACCAATCAGAATGCGCGTATGATTTTAAGTCCTTCGTCAAAGAATCCCTCTGAAATAATGTTTGATTCTACATATGCCTTGCATCTAAAAATATACCCAAGAAACAGTTAAATGTGTTCAATCATACTGCATAATGCCCCACGTCCCGATGTCCTTTAAATTGCATCTGAAATATATATAATATATGGGGAAATAACATGTGAACCATTACGCAACGAGTTGACAATTGTTTTAGGTATGCCCGTTTGCGCTAAGACGGAACCCGGTCGCAAAAATGGCCATGAGAGGGGCACGAGTCGCTATTCGGCTTGTCCCGGAATAACACGAGTTGGCCACGAATGGCAGCGCGTAAACGGTTACGGGCATTCTGAGCAGCTGAGGGACTAAAACTAGAAATCTCCGTTGCAGTGTAGGTGGCAATGAGTGTCATGTTTCGAAGAGCCCGGATGTACATTCATCAATCGTGGACTGTTAAGGTGAAGCATGATCTCTCTGACCTTGGACGACCTCTAATGTTGCCTAAATCGTACCTATTCTGTCTTACAGACCCTGATACATTTATATCAACTACAGCCCATGCAAGTCTATAATGTTTGGCAAGTCTAGATTACTGCAGTATCTGAAAATGAAGAGAATCACTGGGCTCCCTTTTTATTAGATTTTTATTAAGATAACTGAACAACTGTTTTTTTCTGTGCGATATGTTCATTTCAGAGACTATATGTTAGTCTAAAATCGTGCCCTAAGTCAGGAAATCTTTCCCTCAGTAGCATTGAAATACCTTGCCACCGATGCTTGTGTACACCAGCGTCACGTCTACCAGTAAAGTTATTTCTTGCCTTATTATTGAGACTTAGATGGCGTTTTTCAAAATTCACTCCGTAGACTGACTGATTTGTGAAAATTTCACGTGTTAAAAACTTGGCCTGGAAACCCAGGACAACTTCCTTGCACTAGAAAATGCTTTTCAGTTGCCCAATATAACGATTAGACATCATGGATCAATCACCATCGCTACTTTTTTCATCAAATGCAATAAAACCATTGTTCAATAACAGTTGGTTGGTTGGTTGGTTGGTTGTTTAACGCCGCACTCAGCAATATAACAGCTATATGACGGCGGTCTGTAAATAATTGAGTCTGGACCAGACAGTCCAGTGATTGACATCATGAGTATCGGTCCACGTAATTGGGATCGATGACATGCATGAACCAAGCGAGCCTGACCACCCGATCCCGTTAGTCGCCTCTTACGACAAGCATAGTCGCCTTTTACGGCAAGCATTGGTTGCTGAAGACCTATTCTAGCCCGGAATCTTCACGGGTCGTTCAATAACAGAACAGTTCGACTTTATTTCTATGTAGCAGTGCAACTGCGAGTCCTTTCCATTCACGACATTTACTTTTGAAATAAAGTTACCACCCATGCGTTTCGTTTTGGGGAGCGCCGTGATATTACTGGAATATTGCTAAAAGCGGCGTAAAACCATACTCACTCACTCACTCGTTTTGGGGATAGTATATATAGCGTTCTCGGATATGAGCCAGTAGCTAAATTTAAATAAACCGAAGAATAAAAAAAAAAAAAACAGAATAATATACACGAATATCCGTCAAAACAAAAAAACAACATTCTGAACTTGCTCTATATACATGTACATGAATATGATTCTCTGATAACACTTATTTATGAGCTAAACGTCAATCGGGAGCAGGATAACACACACAAAACCAAGTATAACATACACAAATATCCGTTAACGCAAAACATAGTATTTACCTATTCACATGTATACAGCGTTCTTTGACATGATCAATAAATCGTTGGTTAACACACAAAAGAACCAGAATAATAATTATAAACAAATATACGTCAATGCAAACATAAGTCACCACTGTCGGTAGTTGCATGCGTATTTCCTTCTCTGCTGTAAGGTAATAGCTCAACATAAATAGGAATTTGAACGAAACAAAAGAAGTATAACATCAACGGACCTTCTTCAATACAGAAAGAGAATATTCACTAACATGACAGGGGTCTGAACGTCAATATAACCTCTGAGAAAGACATTATGTTCAACAAGGAACTGATATGTAATCGTAATTTCGAATGATGCGTACACACTCTTCTGAAAGATCATCACGATGCTAGCATCCCTTTCTTTTGTGTGGATGCTCGTTTAACCCCGAGATGCAGCGGGATTGACTGACATTTCAACAAAGTCCTGCACAGGCGTAGTATTGATTCTAGTGATGAAGTATTTTAATTGGGCTCGTGTCTTATAACAGTGGTTCATGAGCACAGTCGTGGTGGCATCGAAGCCAAAGTGCAGAACTAATTAGTGAAAAGTCACGAACCGTCAGAATCAATTTATGTTTATGTACATCGTCATATCTCTGATGTCAAATGTTCAACATTGTTTTTTTATGTTCAATTATTTTTCCGACACTTAAAAAAATACTGCGGCGGAGTTAAATAATTAATGCAGAACCAATGATATATCAACATTACATTATGTTAAACAAAACTTCTACAGACTATAAACATGTAGGAACGGGTCTTCACGTGATCCTTAGACCTTATTTTGTCGTTATTCTGAAGGCAGAAATAAATGAATAAATAAATAAAAAAACGAACGAATAAATACATACATAAATAAATAAATAAGTAAATATATAAACATACACATGAAAAAAATGATCTACATCAGGAATAAACACAATTGCACAGAGGGGATCCATGATAATAAAGTCGGGTTTGCACACCACCAAGTCACGAAAGAAAAAAACAACCAAAAAAACGATAAGTTGACTCGCCATTTGTATGAAAAAGGGGTGAACATGCATGCACGCACGCACGCACGCACGCACGCACGCACGCACGCACGCACCCCTCCTCTTGAATCTCCAGTGTTTCAAATTTATCTAAATTTATCTACATTTGAAAAACAAATAAATTTTGAGGCATCCCTTTGTTGTTTAATACAAAAGAATGTAACTATGTTCTTTTTGAAATCTCACATTACTCTATACTCAGCGACTCTCTTAGTCCTGCACCTTGACCGTGGAATATATTTATTTTATGAAAAAATAATAATCTAGAAATTCATGCAAAAGCAAGTCTAGCCAGCTCAAGCTAGCATAGGGAATTTTTTTTATTTTTAGAGTTAAGAAGGATATTGTGTAATATAAGATTTCAGAGACTAAATGTTAGTCTACGACTCTCTCACTTCCACACACTGTCTGATGTTGTCTCTCTGCTGCTGCATCTCCCCATCAGTCTTGACAGATGAGCGTTTCCCAGAAGTACATTTGACAAACAATGCTTTCTTGACTGCCACATCTAAACACCCAGCCAAACCAGAGGCTGCATCCATGAGCGCGTTAAACAATGGACACCAGTCCCTTCAAATCAGTGACAAGCAACAAGGCACGTGAAGATTAACACCGATACCAAATCCATACTGGTGACACTGCCACTTGGACTCAGCTATTGGTTGGCCTGAGACCAGCTCAGCAGGACGAAGATACGAAGCTACATATAACAGCCTGGCAGATCAATGCTTCACACAGCGGCACCTTGTGGCGACGTGCTTCTGAACCACAGAGACGGAGGTGCAGTCTCATCCCCAGGATCGTACCCAGTGTCCGGGAGATCAAACTTCCTACAACTTCGTTAGAGGCGACACGGTAAGTCGGCGGTATTTCTCCATGTGTATAAATTGGGCTGCTGATAACGTATTATGTGAGTCGTGAGTTAATCAAACTACTAGCAGCTGTCATAGTTTGTGTGTTACATCTGCAATATCGACCACATTAGCGTTGTTTATTGAATTTTCGATAAACGACATTGTCCTGTTCTGACAACTTGAACACAATGGAATGAATGTGTTATAATGACGAAATTGGGCGTTAAGGTGTTCACGTCACACAGTTATTGTCTCATGTGCCATATTTTTTTTTTGTACAGCGACATCGGCTGTTTTCTATTTTCTCCTTGGCTATCCCACGTGGGTGAGGATTATTCTGACTAAATTTGTTATGCACCCATGTAGTTGTATTTTATGCTAACTATCTTGGACAAACAGTTGTGTGGTCTTTAAGATTTTAGAGCTATACATATTATGCAGGTACTACAGTGACGTGACATTGTGTTGATTACATCGATAACAGACATACAGTGACGTGACATACACATGTGTCTTGTGTTGCTTGTATCGATGTCCGACATACAGTGACGTGACATACATGTGCGTCTTCTGTGGATTATATCGATATCAGACATACAATGACGTGACATACACATGTGTCTTGTGTTTATTCTATCGATATCCAACATACAGTGGCATGACGTACACGTGTCTTGTTTTGATTACATCGATGTCCGACATACAGTGACGTGACATACACATGTGTCTTGTGTTGATTATATCGATAACAGACATACAGTGGCGTGACATACACATGTGTCTTGTGCGGATTATATCGATAACAGACATACAGTGGCGTGACATACACATGTCTTATGTGGATTAATCGATAACAGACATATAGTGACGTGACATACACATGTGTCTTGTGTTGCTTATATCGATAACAGACATACAGAGACGTGACATACACGTGTGTCTTCTGTTGATTATATCGATATCCGACATGCAGTGACGTGACGTGCACATGTGTCTTCTGTTGATAACATCGATATCAGACATACAGTGACGTGACATACACATGCGTCTTGTGCTGGTTACATGGGTATCCGACATACAATTTTCAGTTCTACCGGCCTTTGTAATTTCGATCTTATGAGTGAGTGAGTGAGTGAGTGAGTATGGTTTTACGCCGTTTTTAGCAATATTCCAGCAATATCACGGCGGGGGACACAAGGAATGGGCTTCACACATTGTACCAATGTCGGGAATCGAACCCGGGTCTTCGGCGTGACGAGCGAACGCTTTAATCACTAGGCTACCCGTCCACCCCGATCTTATGAATACAGGTATTTGTATACAATCATCCAGGTTCCAATAAGATTACAGGAAATGACAAAATAGATCTAAGAACTTGATGTGTTTGACTAGTATGAATAACACTTTATACAAAGACTAACTTCAATTTGAATCTTTGGCGATAAGATCGTGCGTCTTGGGTCATTACAAATACATAAAAATCATAAAATTTATTATTTTGTCAAACATGTTTTTCTAATCTTGTGGTCATGTTATGTGGTTGTGCTACTCAAAGAATACTACAATTGTTATGTCGCTCGATGAATAACAAAACATAATTTCCAAACCATTTCTTCTACATACAATCATAAAGTTAACGTTATAGAGCACTGATAAATTGGTCTTTGTCCTTTAACTTCAACGAGGTTCTCGCCTTCGTTCCGTGTGCCCATATGGGAGGCAACATTTTTTGGCATTGTGGTGATAAGCCTCCGGTTTTATGTTTGCATATTAAATTGGTCACCTCACGTCCTTTCTTCTTTTTAACATTTCGGAAAGCGTATCGACCAAGAAAATGACTTATACATGCGACTTCAGAAATAGCTCCGGTAGCTACATATTAATAATACACAGGAAACCAATATAGCTTAAAGACTTGTTTGACAAAGACAGTCAGTCCTTATGGAAATAAATGTTATGCCTTGAAATGATTCACTTTGCCCCTTTTCCCCTTGTTTGTCCTAAAAGAACAAGAGCGACAAATAGCTTTGAAATAATTTGTAAATTCTTTCGCATTTCAATGACTTGAAGCTTGACACATAGAACAAGAATATAATCTTCAGTGCGAAATCGATGATCATACCATTTATCCTTGTATTCCAAAATAATACGCGTCCATATAACTTTCAGAAAACGTTTGGAGAGGAAACATTTTCCCTTTGTATTAAACAACAATAAGCTGTGGACGAAGTCAATTACTTGTATAAGAGTAAAGAGGCGAAGCAGGTTTAAGATCGAAAGCCAATTCATATGATAATTCCGAACAGAATCGTCCGTTATTGACTCGATTTCTGTGGCTAATTCAATAGAAAGCTTTGACAATCCCCAACGATGTACGGTAAAGTCGATTGTAGCCAGTCAGCGAAAAATTGGTAAAAAGATGTGTGTCACTTGGGACAATGGAAAAATTAATTTCCACAGACACATTCGCGCTTTTCGACAACGAATACCTTAGGCGCCATGTTGGGTACAATGCTTGACAGGAAATATTCAGAACATATCGGTAAGGATATATATAAAGGTATGGTATATAACCGACCAAATCAGATTCTGGGTTAGAATTGGTCTTCAGCAACCCATGCTTGTCGTAAAAGGTGACTATGCTTGTCGTAAGAGGCGACTAACGGGGTCCGGTGGTCAGGCCCGCTGAATTGGTTGATGCATGTCATCGTATCCCAATTGCGTGGATCGATGCTCATTATATTAATCACTGGATTGTCTGTCCAGACTTGATTATTTACAGACCGCCGTCATATAGCTGGAATATTGCTGAGTGCGGCGTTAAACAACAAACCAACCAACCAAAATCAGAAGACATTTCTGCTTCGAGCAGAGTCCATTACACTATTCCGATGATATAATAAACCTGTGTTTGTGGATCACTCACCATCAATGAGTCTGGAAAATGTAGTAACTGTTATAAAAGTGACATTACTCTCACATGGGTTTGTGATAACAACAAATTAAAGCAAATGAATACAATTTTACTGAGTATGTCCGATTTTAGCTATTGTGTCCTGATATATTTTTCCTTTGTCGAATCCATGCACTGGCGTGACAAGAGTAATCCCCATTCTGTCATTTGTTATTCGCGACTGTCGTTATGTTTTTGGGTTAATGAAGAGTGAAATCATGACATCTTAGTTGCGGAATCACAACAGTGAAGTTCCCCGAAGAAGGCAGGTTAAAAAGTGGCATTACTATCTTGCTATGGTCGTGATGCATATGATATCCATGGACTACACAAGGAAACATATTTACTCGGGAGAAATAACACGTGCCCGCAGTTGCTGAGCTGTGAATAAGGGTCTCACATTCAGACCTTTGCGTGTATGCTGTACATTCATAATGGCCTCACACTCTTCCAGCACAGGGCGGTCGGGTAGCCTAGTGGTTAAAGCGTTCGCTCGTCACGCTGAAGATCCGGGTTCGAATCCCGACATGGGTACAATGTGTGAAGCCCATTTCTGGTGTCCCCCGCCGTGATATTGCTGGAATATTGCTAAAAGCGGCGTAAAACCAAACTCACTCACTCACTCACTCTTCCAGCACAGCGCTCGTAAATATTGGAAATGGCTGTGTCAAAGCATGCCTCAGCAATGTCCGTCGGAAATAACCAAGTAGGCATGGCAGTCTTTCATACCAGCATTGCCGAGGCTACGGGGAATTGTTGTACCAATATTTATGGATGGTGTATTAGCAGATAGGGCGAGGGGAGTAATGTCTTTCTGTTGTACCGTTATAACAAATTATCTCTGTGGAACTCGGCAACTCAAACTTGGTTGTACAGGTTAGGCGCCATGCCGAACGCATGATTACAGGTTGAGGGAAACACCTACAGTATACTGACACTGTTTTACATAATAAATAATTTCTCTCTTGTTTGTGATTCTCAAAGATTTAACTAATGTTTTCTTTTCATGCCAGAAGGACATTCCTTCCTACTGGAATCGTACATTACATTGTCGTTGCTGTACAACAATACGCGAATGTCGTATATATATCAATAATGCAGTGACTTGTTTGATAGGCATTACTTAGAAGTTGGCGGATTGTGTCTATCTTGTAATAATGCAGTGGTAGGGTTAGTCGTGTTTATTTTGTCTTGTCAAAAAATATTTCAGATAATGTCGATAATAGTGGTGTGTTAGCCGACTTGATACAAATATACTGAAACGTCTCACGTACATATTGGCTTTTAGAAAATAAGGTACTTTTCGAACATACACACACATGAGCATTTAACGTGCTAAAGACAAAATCTCAGACACGTTCTCTACTAAACCATATGCTACTAAATGCTGGAATACCTCAACAACGTTTCCTCTATCTTGTCCTCTGATAATTCATATTTGAAATATATATCTTTGGGACAATTTTTATTCTGTTAAATCGATACCTGAATTGCTTTGTTTTACGTACCATATTTCATGGTGATAGCGGCTGTTACCGTCATAGGGACATTTGAATTACTAATGTACGTCTTCGTCAGGACATCATGACAGTCTCCCAATCACTAGGGATTAAATTACGACGTAAACCCAACTCAAGTCTAGAAAAATTGGTAAATCACGATTGCGCAAGGCCTGAAATCAAGCATTGTTCTCGTTTCCATTTCGTTTAATGTACATATTTTGTAGATATATTTTCACTTTTTGTTATAAATAAGATAGCATTATTTCCGGGACTAAATATAAGTCTAATCATGCCAATGAGATAGTATATCAAGGTTCTGAACATTAGTCATAATTATTCAATACAATCTGTATATTCAGTTTGATATGTCTCATGTGACTAAACAAATTAATCATTTTGTATTCTCGCCCTGAATTTCTTTTTAAATATTTCAAAACAGGCTATTTTGTATGCAACGAATTCCAAAGCTCCAATGCACACCGTCTGTACCTTTTTATACCCTATTGTTCCAGTGTATAGTATGGAGATGTATGCTGGAGTTGAGTC